CATACCTGGAATAAATCCTGCATACTGTGGTGTATAGTTGTTTTTATGTGTTATTGGATGATGATTTGTTAATATTTTGTTGAGGATTTTTTGCATCTATGTTAATGAGTGATATTTAGTCATTAGTTCCTATTTTTTGCAATGCCTTTCAATTGGTTTTGATTTTAAAGTAATGCTGACCTCACAGAACCAGTTAAGAGGTATTCCTTTTGCTTCTGTCTTCTGGGAGAGATTGTAGAGAGCTGGTATAATTTCTTCCTTTAATATCAGAATCCATCACTAAAACCATATAGGCCTTGTGCTTTGCTTTTGAAGGCTATTATTGATTCAATTTATTTAATGTATATAGAAGTCTGTTCTATTTATTTCTCTTCTTGCAAGTTTGGTACCTTGTATCTATCAAAGGAATAGGTTCCACTGTACATTTAAACCACTTATTTACTTTTTATATGGCACATTTCATACTTTTATAACATAGTATGTATATATTTTTTTAAACCGTTAGCATTTTTCAACTAAGACTTAGCAAAGTGATTTGAATTTTGAATGAAATGAGCTGAACTTGAGACATATATCTGTCAGCACCACAACCATAAGAAGAATATGAGAATAGTATAAACCTTTTCACTTTTTTAAGGGACTAATCTACTAAATCCTTCCAAGTAATTTGGTTCTGTGGCCCATTTTAATATTGAACTATAGACAGTTTTTGTTTGACAGAGGCTAGTGATGGTAAATAAGAGAAATCTGAAGTTACAGAGGAGTGTAGTCCAAAATGATGATGCCTATCAGTGGAATAAGTATTGATAGCAAATAGGTATTGATATAAAAATGTGATTCACCCCTTTCTCAATTTCTAAAAAATATCTGTTGGATAAAACAGAACACACCTGAATAGACACAATAAGTGTATAACCTGGGTTCCACCAGGGTGAACTGATCATTAAAAATTACAAAACAGGAAGTTAGACTTATAATTTAAATTTCTGCTTCACTCTCAGCTATGATTAAATATTATGTTCAGGTCAAAGAGTGCTCTGGAAGGTCTCCTTAATCTCTGCTCTGATCTGCTAACTGCTATTGTGCAATCGAGGTACCTTGTGTTCCCCAAAGGATGAGCCACAAGCGGCTTTGTCCAGACCCTGTGTTTAGAATACTTGTGAGCCCTCAAGTGCTACATCCGCTGAGACGCGGTGTTGCATTTCAATGATGTGCTCAGACTCCTCTGGTCAGGGAAGCTGAAGCATAAACACTGTGCTGACAAGTCGGGTTGTGGAGCAGTCTTTGGTCAGTGATCTGACCAAGCAGGTTATTAGGGAATAACATTTTTGCAGCAACAGCAAGTTGTTTATGTGATATCTGATCCCAGACATGTAGCATGTGTTTAGCACTATATGAATCTATTTTTGAGATTTGTGATGATTACAATAAACAATCAAATTTCTCTGTGAAGTTGACTCATGTTATTTCTCATAGCATTTATACCATTATTTATCTGAGTTTCTCCTCTATAGCCTATAGTGTTTGCTTTTATATAACAGGGTGTTTTAAAATATATAATACAAGGAAATTAGCATGCAACTTAAAATGTTTAGTCTCAGTATTTAATTAAATAGTAGTGTGTTGTATGGGTTGGTACCAGAATAAAATGTGTATAATTCTTTGTTTACAAGTCCATATGGCATAAAAGGCAACTTCTGATATATACCTGATTGCTAAATTGGTTATTTATGTTGTGTGTGATATTTGCAATGCTGTATAACAAATTTGGCTCTTGAATTTCGTCAGTATAATTTGGATAGAACTATGTGCCACATTTTTTGAACAATAAAGATCTATGATATCTTTCAAGTAGGATGCCTTGTACCCATTTTGTTACCATTAAACACATGGTTTAGTAATAATAAGTATTTTTGAAAGAAGCTAATTGAATTGTATTTTGTACACCAAATTTTAAGTGCATATGACTCGAGCATTTCTCCTTTCTATCATAAGTGCAATTGTATTCTTCCTCCATATATCTCAAAAAGAGACTGTAACCCTCCCATATAATTGGCTCATAACATATTTTTATCCTTCTACATGCTGAGACTTTGTTGTCAAGAAAAGGATTTTCTTAACAGTGTGCAGCATCTCCCAGTACTATGGTACATTCTGACAAGGACCATGTGTGCTGTCTTTATCTCATATGATTGAGTCGTGCTGAGGAAACAATATAATAGCCGTAATGAATCTATTTTAAAATTTAAAATAGGAATTTGTGTTTGTTGTTCTTATTATTTTATTGTTTTTAGTGATGTTGTTTCTGCTAGCATTTAGCTATTTTGCAGAAAATATACACAACTGATAGATAAACAGTATATTATTTGTTCTTAAGAAGAATACACCTAGTAATGTTAATACAAGACTGAAAGGAAGCATTCCTAAAATGGCAGTGACCTCAGGTTAACTATTTCCTGTATTTTCAGACTTAAATTCTGTTCAGTGTGGTAGAATCAAATTTCTTCTTCCCCTCTGGAGTAACTTGCAGGCCTCTGAAATTCAGACCATCACAAACTCACGGCAAATTACTGGGTTTATTTTCACCTTCTCCTCTATGCCCAGCAAGCCTGTTGTTCTCCTGCATGCCTTACCTTCATTAATGATACAATTCTCCCACATTGCACTGCTTCAGATTGCTACGAATGTATCATTTTTCTTCTAAATGCCCTTTATTCAGCTCATCTTCAAATCTTGATGGTTCTTACTTTCTCAAATGCAGCCCCTCCTCTCACTCCTCCGCTTCTAGTCACATTCTTACCATAATTTCTCTGAAGAATTAAAAAAAATCTCCTAAACTTTCCACCCTTCACCCCACATCCGGATTCTAAACACACAAACGTGATCATGTGTCTTCTGAGTCAAACATTCTACGTTACATAGAGCAGATTTGTTTACAAATTGCAGGTTGTAAACAATTCGTGAGGAGTAAGTTCAAATTTGTGAATTGCATTGGTCTTTTTAAAGACAGCAGAAAGAAAAGAGCACATTTTAAGGTATTACTCTGTGAAACTGTCCTACTTGCATTTGACTGTACAAATGTCCATGTATTTCTGTGTTGTTTCATGATGTAAAATGTATTTGTGACCATGGGTTATAGTCATGAAAGCTAGAGAGGTATCAGTAAAGATAAAATTGAAACTGCCTATCAGGACATGCAGCACCTCTAGCTACTTTCTCCAAGAAGCCTTTCTCTATTTCCACTTAAGGAACTCACTACATTTCCCTTGTGTGAACTTCTCCTTTATACGTGCTAGTTTCTCAATGAAACAAGCAGTTCTCAGACATTTTGGTTTCAGAATCTCTTTAAACTCTTAAAAGGTATTGAATGATTCTAAAGAGCCTTTGGTCTTAGATGTTAAAAGGAAGAGTTTTAAAAAAATATTTAGTTTGCTGGGCTGGAGATATAGCTCAGTGATGGTACACTTGCCTAGCAAGCCCACTCCCTGGACTCAATCTCCAGTAACAACAACAACAACAAAAGTATTTAATTTCTTAATAAAAATAAACCCATTATATGTTCTAAGTAACATTTTTCTGAAAAATAACTATTTTTTAAAAAATTAGAAGAGTGAAATTTCTTTTTATTTTTGACAATTTTAAAAATAGAAGATAGATTTTCATTTCTGCCTTTGTATTTAGTCCATGGTGATGTGTTTTAGTTGAAAGAGATAAAAAAATTAAACATTTAACAAATACGTAATTGGAAAGTGATTGAGCATTTTGATAACCTTTTCAAATAAATGCGTAGGCATTCTTTTTCTTTAATATTACACCAAAACTCAACAAGTGGGAGTTTCTTAAAGGTGAGTGGCAAACTTCGGGAAATTCTGATTTTCACTTAAAATCTATAATTTTGTGTTGGTAACCAGTACCATCTGTTCTTTGCCTTGACATGTCACAGAACTGAATTGAGGGTTCACAGAATGGTATGTGACACATTTAAGCAACTAGTTTGTCAATGATTAAAGGTGGCACTCCTGGAAAAGAGCACAACTCAAGCACTTCAGCACTTTTTTCCATGAAGCGTACACTGAACTTACTCAGTAAAAAGGCAAATATGAAATAGTCTCTATGGGCCTCACATGTAGGCCCCCTGAACAGATCTTGCTGGCTCCCAGGGGAATGTGGCCCATACAACTAACTTCCATGAACACATATTCTGCTTAGAGAAACTTGTATTTAGACTTAAAGATTAGGCTCAAATGCTATGTACTGTATTTTGTGAAGCCTCCTCAGGTTGATTTGTCTCTCCTTTCTGAGGTCCTGTTTATTAAAGCCCTCCTCGTATTTCTCCTTGTCTGTTGGGTGCTCCTAGTAGAGGCTGAATCTTATTTCTCTGCCTCCCCCAAATGCACCCAGGTTTGTTAAGGAGCAGAAACCTGTTCATTTTTGTTCCATATCCTCGGTTTTGTTTTTTTCCCCACAAGCATACAATGAGTTCAAGGAGAATAATTACTGCCTCCATTTTTCAGAGTAAGCAATATTTTGTTAACATTTCTCTAAAGCTAATTACACAAGCATCAGGAATACTGACATGATGGTTTAAGATTCTAGTACTTTGTTTTGATATTGGTTTCATTAGACTGATGCAGAAAATAGCAAGTGGATAATTCCTTTGTCACTTTTTGCTCCAAATCTTGATATAGGTCAAGGAACCATTTTAGAGATATCTACCCTAACTGAAGATCTTATTGGACTGACAAATTTTGTATTAAATAATTTTGATGGAACCTTATTTGAATATTTTATGCCTTCATTTCGTTCATGTTTTCGGATGTATTTATTTAGCATTTAATGTGCACCAGGTTCTCAGGATACAAAAGGATTTCAGCATTTATCTTAGACATTTGGATTCAGGCATGTTAGGGGATGCAAAGTGTCTTAGTTACCCTCCTTGTTGTTAAGACAAAATACCCAACAACCACAAGTTAAAGAAGGAAAGGTTTATTTTAGCTTACAGTTTGTAGAGGTTTCAGTTCATAGTCTGTTGGTTCCAAGACTGGGTGGCATTGCAGAGGGGAATCACAGAGAAGAAGCTGTCCATGGCAGGGTAGGGAGGAAAAAAATGAAGTGCAAGCAGCAGCAGCAAGCCTCCCTTTCCTTTTTATCCCATCCAAACTGCAAACTTTTTGGGTGATACCACCCACACCTATGGTGGGCTTTCCATTACCCACCCTCAGAACTATGATAAACCAGTTAGTGAACTAATCCAGTATTGCGCACCCTTAATCCCAGTGACAGACCTTTGAGCAGCATTTACCCTCCCTAGATCCAGTCATTTCTGAAAAGCACCACCTATGAGCACATGAGGCTTTGGAGGGACATCTAGATACAAACCATAACACAAAGTATGTATTTTTTGAAGTATAATATATCTTCTACATTTATTTCCATTTCAAGTTATGTAGTAACATTTCTAAGTGTAGTTTTATGCAGAAATTGAAAAAAAATAATCCATGCTGTCCAGAAAACTTACCATTAGTTTACTGAAGAGGTAGACCAAGTGCAAACGTGTTCATAAAATCCCAATTGAGAATTTTAATTGAGAGTAGCTCAGCTATATACACTTGCAGTTCTTTTCCAAGGTTGAGGGGGTGGAGACCAAATATATTGTTTGTTTTTGGTACCGGCAGTTGAACTCTGGACCTTGCACTTGCAAGATAAGTGGTGGAACCACTGAGCTAAATCCCTGTCCTGGCCTGAGGCCAAATATAATGAAGGCTACAAGGTAGTGTTGCTCTTTCCAAAGTCAGTTTCCTGTATTGTTATCTATATCATATGTTGCTTATGGGATCGTTAATTTTATCTGTCAATTTAGTCAAGCCACTATACTGAGATATTTAGTCAAATATCAATCAAAATGTCACTACAAAGGTATTTAGATAAAATTAACGTTTAAATAAGTAGCCTTAAAGCAAATTACTTTCCATAATGAGGGTAGAACTTGTTCAATCAGTTGGAGGCTTATGCTGAGTTTCCCTTAGAAGAAAGAGTTATGTCTCTAGACTGCTTCCAAACACAAACTACAACATCCTTTCTTCTAGGGTCTCTAGATTTCTGGCCTATCATTAAGATTTTGGATTTACGAATCTCTGTAATCACATAAGGCAGTTCCTTAAAATATAATTTTCCCTGTGTGCAGATCCTACTGGAGTTGTCTTTGGAGAATGCTGACTAGTACAACTAGTTTGCAAATGTGTATGGTCTTACCTTGATCTAAAGGACAAGATGCATCTCCCTACTCCTTGACGTTCCTGGTCCTAGGCTCACAGAAGTTGTAGTAATGTAACATTGTAGGGGGGTCACAGCACAGATTTCAAAACACTTGCACATTTGTGCTTGATCGACCATTTCTGTAGAAGAATTCAGAAGTAACATGAACTATACATTCAGGAAGAAAAGCAAACATGTTGAGCTACGTGGACCCAGATAGGAAGGAAGAGACTGGTAAAAGAAGTAACAAAATAGAGAAAAGAGAGAAGACTCTGGGAGCAGCTAAACCAAGGCTTCCCCTTAGATATTTATGTGAAGTCCTAACCTTCATTACTGCAGAATGTTACTACATTTAGAGACAGAGGCTTTAAAGAGTCAATTAAGTAAAAATAATGCCACTAGGATGGGCCCTGATCCAGTTTGACTGGTGTCCTTATAAGAAGGGGAAATTTGAACCTAAAAAGAGACTCAGGGGCCTCATTTATAGGGGAAAGATCATGTGGGGACACAGCAAGAAGGCAGCTTCTGTAACCAAACAGGGAGGCCTCAAAAAAAAAAAAAAAAATCAAAACTGGCAACACTGCTTTTAGTCTTTTATTCTCCAAAATTGTGAGAAAATACACTTTTGCTGTTGAAGTACTTTATGGTGGCCCCATAGAATAACACGGTTCTCAACAGCAAACATTGGTTACTTCTCAATGTTTCTTAGGGCTGGTTGCGATTTTGTTGTATTGGACATTTCTATTCAGCTAGAGGCCAAGTCAACCCCAAGAACTGCCTGGAATAGCATAGACTGGCTGTCCTCTGTCTGGTTTAAGAGAGACCCGGGCAATGATTGCTTTGGTGCTAATGCAGGAAGGGAACTTTTCTTTCTTCCCAAGAGCCCTCTAGCAGTGTTTACTTCTTTGTCTGTGAGTGTTTCTGCCTCAGTCTGTGGTGATCCACAACTCCATAAAACTCTTGTCATCCTATCTTAGTCTGCTTTCCATTGCTATAACAGAACACCTGACACTGGTATTTGTAAAGAATAGAGGTTGTTTTGCCTCTTGGTTCTTGAGGTTGGGAAATCCAAGAGCATGGAGCCAGCATCCGCTCAGCTTCTGGTAAAGGCCTCATGCTACTTCAACTTGTGCCAAAAAGCAGAAAAGAAAGCAGGTTCCTGCAAGAATGAGAAAATACACAGGGCTTATTTTATAAGAACTCTCTCAAAGTTGCCAATTCAGCTTTGAAAGAAATGCATTAATCCCAAGTAATCTTGTAAACACATCGCATTGGCGATCAAATTTCAACATTTCAGAGGAGAGAAACCATGTTCAAGGTTTAGCACAGCTCATACAACTGCAAGCCACACATTATAGGACATTTCAAACAGCTCAGGTATTTTCTAGCCAAATATATCCAGGCTGCTTATTATTATTATTACTTAAAGAATGCAGGTAATGATGCCTGGGTTTAAATGGGTAAATAAATTTGTTTTCCATTCTAATGATAATATTTTAATCGACACCTGTCCGTAGTATTCCCCCTTATCTGCAGGGGATATATTGGAAGACATCCAGTGTACACCTGAAACCACAAATATCCTATAGGTGCGATAGAAGACTGTGATGAATGTTTAAGTTTTTAAAAAATTATTATAGTAAAAGCCATATTGCCATTAGTCCTCTTCGAAATATACCCACCCCCTGCAAGGAAAACCACTTCAAACACACATATCCCGTTGTTCTTGTCACTTTCTGAAGCCATTCTGGAAGTCCTTCTCTATGAGTGTCTCTAGTTGTGCCGCCCTGGCTGCCTTCACTTCCTGAATCAGTTCAAAATGTTTACCTTTCACAGTCATTTTCACTCTGGGGAAGATCCACAGGTCTCACAGTGCCAGATTGGGTGAACAAAGTGGTTGAGGACACACTGTAGTATTTTTACGAGCCTTGCTTTTCCATGGGATGACAGTCAGCAACAACATTCACCGTATTTTTTATCACACTCCCTAAAGTCACTTGCTAGAGAGGACATTCAGAACTACTTCAGAAAGTGGCAAGAACACTGGACTAAGTGTGGTAGAAGTGAGGAGGAGTGCACTGAGGGACCTTACTGGCAATGTGTCTTTTACTGCAATAATTTTTGAAAAAATTAAGCACTCAGGATATATTTTGCTAAGACTTTTCATACTGTTTTTCTCCTTTACATATATATCTGAGATAAAATCTAATTTAGCCACAGTAAGAGAGTCATCAGTGAAAGCAAATAAAACACTTATAGCAATACGTTGTAATACAAGTTGTGTGGATGTCATTTTCTTCTGTCTCAAAATGCCTGAGTGTAGTGTGCCTATCTTTCTTCTTATGATGTGAGATGACATGATGCTTATGTGATAAGAAGTGACGTGAATGACGTAGGCATGGTGATGATGTAGTGTTGGCTGCTACATGAGAGTTTCCTGAGGCAGGCGTGACAATAGTGTGACAGTCGATCTGATAGCCAAGAGGGCTCACCAGTAAATAACGGGTAGATAGCATATATAGCATGGATACACTGGACAGGAACAAGATTCATGTCTCAGGCAAGCAGGGTGGAGTGATAGACTGCAGAATCTCATCACGTTATTTCTGGAATTTTCCATTGCATATTTTTGGACTGTGGTCGACTGTATATAACTAAAAGCATGGAGAGTGAAACCGTGGTTGAGACAGGACTACTGGAGTGTTCACTGGGCCGAGCACCATTCATTGTAGCCTCTGTTGATGTTAACTTAGAATTATTTTGATGCAGGACTACCTATTTCATTCTTGGTATAAAAATGTGAGTTAGGTAAGGCAGGTATCGTTCCCATTTTCCAGAGGAGAAAACTGAGGCTTAGAAAAGCTTTATATTTTTCTGTTTCCTTCTTGGTAAATGGCAAATGTGGAAGCAAAATCCAGTTCTTTAGATTTTTAAATTAGTAATTTTTCCAAACCACTTCTCTTGTAAATGACATCAGATATCTATATGTGCATATTTTCATATATACATATATATCTATATATCTTTAAATACATGAAATGAAGAGTGAGAGAGCATACCTTTCTTTCCCTCTTTATGTTCCATACAGAGAAATGACAGAAAATATTATTTGCCCCCGCAAAGGACTGTAACTTTCAGCCCTTGCAGAAGGACGGGGAGTAAGGAAGGGAGTCCAAGGGGCACAGTGTTCCTCACTCCAGAAGCTGTGTGGAGTGGGGGACAGGAGGGAGCTGAGTTGCTGTGTAAGATGCCTGAAAAGCAAAACTGGAATATCGAGCCAATAAAAGAATAATAATGTTTAAAGTTACATCTGAACTAATATGCAAGATGTAATGTGAAACAAAAGGACTAGGAAACGCTTCATTTTCACTTATTTTTTCATTTGTAGGATAACTTAGATTTATAGAAGACAAACTATGTCCAAAAAGAAAGTTATGCCTTTGAGACCGAGGAAGCAGATGACATGTGTCTGTGGATACTCCACGGCCCCAGCGTACATCAGCATGTCCTCTAAGATATAAACTGTGTCAGTTTCTGCATTCAGATTTCATTCCTGACCACAGCAGAAGCCGCACATAAATTTAGAGCTCAAAAGGATAGAGAAGAACATGGTCAAGAGCACTTTTTAAATCTAGTGATTTCAGCTACCCACTTCCCCCAAGGCATAATTTGTGAACAAATTCAAAAGTGCTTTTGCAACAAAATGGAATGGAGTAAACAGAGACACATTTTGTTTTCAAAAATTAAAAAACACGATCTTTATTCCTTTCAGTGATTTCAGTATCAGAGGTAGGACAGAATTGCCCACACATAAGGACGCTTAGGAAGCGCCGTATTGTTTCCTTTCAATGTACCAATAAACTTAATGGAAAAAAAAAAAAGAACGTTATTGCTTAACCAATACCTCCACGAATTAATTAAAGCTCCCGGGCGAAAAAAACCAAAGGGGAAACCTTTCTTATTATTGTTACTCCATAATTACTAGAATTTTGTGTAACCTAGGTAACTCAGCTGAGAAACAAAATCCAGCTGAAAGTGAACCTTAAAATGTTTTCCTTTTACACTTTTGTTAAGGCCCAGAGCAGGTTCCCTGTCGCACCGAGATCCCTCCTGCGTGTCTGGAAAAAGTCTTCTAGTCTAGGAGGTATTCCAACATATGTGCAATGACCATTACCATGGGTGTGAACTTCTTAATGCATTTTTCAGAAATTCCCACCACGATGAAATTGATTACTGCCTGAAAGGATGTTTTC